CACTGTGCTTGTTCATCCAAGTTTTCAGCTGGACTGAGACACTCACAAGTGGAATGACTCTCCCAAACATGTATCGAGTCAGGCACGTCATCAGAATTAGAAACCAGATTCTTTCTGCTTCTGAGCACAGTTGCACACACAGATATCACTTGTTAGTTCTGCCGACAACAGCCAGGCAATTGCAGGTGTGTAGGACATCTTGAACGGCTCACTACCACACAGGAGGAGCCGAGAAGAAAGTACTTATGGAGAAGAGATGAGAAAGACTTGCAAACCAAGAAAGATAAACAGAGTTATTAAACCACCTTTCAATGAATGGGGCATTTACTTTTTTAATTATACATACCTTTTATCTTGCACACTGTACATAGTTTGCTAAGACTGTGCTTTTGGGAGTTTTTGCCTAAGCCTTTCTTTTCAAAACAAATGCTTCACTGCTTTTCTGTTGCAAATAAAACGATACCATTAGTTCACTGCTATTGAAGAGCTGGGCAGTAACAAACAATGTGCAGCAGCAACGGGAAGACAAGGTGGAGGAAAAAGCAAATATTTGTTAAAAGCAGAAAAGGGAAAACAAATCATTTTCTAAACAGGAAAGAAGATCTTGGAAGCAAATTTTAAACTGTATTGTGAGGAAAAGCTTCTGTGTCAGGAAAAAATAATGATCTGACTACCCATTTTTTAGGCAGAAATAAGCAGTAAAACTGCTTTCATATGAATAACACTTACATACTCCCACAGTAAGGGAATGTGATTGAAGTTGCCAAGATAAAGACAGAAGAATCAGGAAGTTCCAGAATTAAGGTTGCCTGAGAAGGCTTCATGTGGCCAGTCTGTGAGTATGCATGATGAGACAGTCTTAAAAAAAAAAAAAAAAAAAAAAAAAATCACAAAAATCACAAAATTATTTGCCCACAGGACCACCCTTGCTTAGTCCAAAGGATGGATGAATGGTTCTCACTTAATGAAAACCTATTCTGTGTTTTGTTTTCCCCTTAGCAAGTGATGCTATCCCTCATTTACGGCTTACTGCCCAAGCCCTGCTCTGAAATCTAATGCACTGTCTTCCATGGGCTCTTCCAGATTGCTCATCATTGCAGCCTTGACATTTTTTAAGAACTACCAAAGCATTTATGTTTACACTAGAATTATGAGGGGAAGGCTGACTTGGCTCCATTTTAGACACAAGAGAAATTCATGTCAAAACACAACTGCTAATTTTATGTGCCCATTTGAGGATGCCTGGCTTTTCAGGGTAAAACAGCATTAGGTTGTACGTCATATCTTTCATAGTACAGAGGTCAACACCTAGGTGCTTCAATCATCAGATTGATCTGTCAGATCAAATGCCTTCCTTAAAACTTCTGCTTTTTGTTGATTAATCACCTACAGTACAATTTGTCTCATCTGTTTTGTATCTGCCTTTGTCTAGTTGTGCAATTCCGGAGATGCTGGAGAAAACTGGCACGTCTCAGGGTGAGATAGCAGGTACTCTGGCAGGTACATCAGGGAATTGTCTTTGCCTGGATGTTCTCCTCTTTAAAAATAGCAGAAGGTAGGCCAGGTGAAGCCAATACCTGCTAGTTTGTCAAGTGCATCCTGCAGGAGGAGGCTACCAACTTTTGCCCCAGCCTTTGACAGCCTGTCCTTACACTCATGTCCTGGAAGCCCAGTCAGGCACCTCTCCTGTGTGATCTGTGTTGTGGAACTATGGAATTAATTCTGAAAACAACATCTGAAAGTCCTGTAAGTACCTTGAGGCTCATGCCCACTCTTAGTGTAATTCTGTGCATGAATCTCTCCCCAGGCATTATCCTACTGATGTCCTGAAGGCATCATTATATTCCTGAAATCAAAGAAGCTGCATGTGGGAGGAAAATATAGACATAAAGTTCATCAGAACTCCATATGTCAGTAAAAGGTAAATAATCGCAGGAGTAAATCACTGCAAGATAAGTCCTTAATTATTTAGGGTTAAACAGCAGCAGCATTACAGATGCGAAGTAATATTTTGTTAACAACGCATCCTGAGAACATGGATATAGAAAAATACTATTTTGTATGAGAAAGGAAGGCAAAATGTGGATTGTGATGCTTAGAAACGTTTTCAAATAAATAGGTAATAATATTAAAAAGCATGAAAAAAAAAATCTATCCAAAGCAAAAGACAGAAGCTGTCACAAATTAATTTTTTGAAGTTAATAGTAGTTTCAGCTATTTCAAATATCTCTGAGATGCTTCTGCTAATTTCTGTTTGCAATTACATTTCCTTATTTTTTCACCTTTCCTGTCTTACTGTATGAAAACCCTGCACTAAGCACAGGAAAAATTGACTAACTGGCAATAGTAAGAGGGTGTAACTGACTAAGTGGTGACACAAACAAAGTGCTTTCAAATTCATAGATCAAACTATCTGGGAGGAAAAAAAAAAGATATAAAAAAATTCTTCAATTCTTTTCTTGCATACTCTGCCTTTCATAAAAAAAATGAGTAGTTTAAAACTATCTTGGGAAAGAAAAAAGAGTGGGGTTTTTTGATTAATAGCACACTTATTTAGGGAGCAAAAGGACATACAACATAAAAAAGGAAATTGGTCTTGCATTTATGAAATCACGTGCCAGATTCTCAGCCGGTGCAAAAGACCAGTACTTTACTTGCTTAGGGGATGTAATTCCAATCTGTATCAGCTGAGGATCTGATCCAAAGAGCTTTCCTCTTATAAATATAAAAACATATTCAGACTCACCTCAATTTAGACATTAAGCGCAGCAGACAAACTGGATTGAAGTCTCATATTTCAAAATAGTTTTCAACCTCTTCTTTCCATATTTTATCTGATATGCTCTTTTATGGTCAGAAATAGCAGAAGATGTAAACATTTGATGAAGTTGCCTAGATTTGCTATACCTTCAAGGTCTACTTATGGACTTTGATGTGTGCTTTATTAAAGCAGAAATTGCTTGAGTAGTACACCAATATGAAACTGTTTAAAATCTCTAGGGAACATCTACCTATCTTCTCCATGAACCAGGTTCACATATGTATGCATAAACCAACCAAGATTGCCTATATGACAGGGACAGAAAGACATCTTAACTTCCATGCTCATATTTCACGTTTGTGTAGGTGGGTACCAGGTTTTAGGGCAATATGCCAGGTTTTTAACTCTTTATTTGTGTGTGCTACTCTAAGAATTGTCTTGGAGAGCATTGTGGGAACACTTGTCTGTTCCTGCTGGCCCTCTGCTGAAAACTGTTGTAGCTTACTGCTTAGAGGGGTGACACTTTCTCCACTGGAAACAAAGAATAAAATTACAAATTGAGCACAGCCAAACAGAGCTAAGTCAGGGAAGGAGCTCCAGGGGAACTCGTGTGCCTAAGCAGCTTAGGTGCCTTCTGAAAATCCCACACCTTTACATTTCCTCCTCATGCGAAAAGCAGAAACATCAGCCATGTAATTTTCACACAGGAAGAACGAACAATCTCTATCAATGACTGTATCTAGGTAACAAAATCTATATTCATATTATGAAAACAATCTTCAACCACAATGTTCATGTTTTGTAATGTGGGCTATTTTGTGTCACAACTCCCTTTTTTATTTTAATTGTGAATATTTTTATCGTGTTTTCTTTTTTACTAAATTTTGAGTTGAAGCTACGGTTTTGGTCAGATGTGTGAGAATTACAACTCACGGTTCCACAGACGTTTTCCCTTCTGACTTTCAGATCAAATCCTCTCGGCTGACAACTCTCAAGCGATTCTCGCTTAGCCTAGTCCCACACTTGCACTCCCTTGGAAGCTCATGCTTTCTGTCAGCAGTACATTTGCATCAATACAGCCTCCTTCATATTCCAAAGTCTACCTGGAGAAGCTAATTAGTTTATCCTTTCTGATTCTTGGGAATGCCAAGGCAACTCTGTATCCTAAGATATGGGCAACCTAATGCCCATAAAACAGAAACCTCTACTGAAGTGAGGCTGACCCTGTAGGAGAAATGCATATGGTCAGGAAGCCCCATGATTACATTTTCACATGCAGAATTTCTGTCTGTGTCTGCATTTCAACCACTGTGTTTCAGTAGTCACACATTTGCTAACACCTCAAAAAAGTTCATCTCTAATGCTGTCACTTGTAACCAGTCCAATTATCTCTGCTCATTCAACAATGAAAAACAAAGTCTCCTATAAATGGCCTGGACACAGAAGTTGAACAACCTCGGAGATAAAAAAAACACAGCAAGTTAAGATCTTACTCAAGAGTCCTACACAAATGAGTAAGTGGGCAGAATGTGGCCCCTTGCTGTAGTGTACAGGGACTAGAAACACATTGGATGCTGATCGTTAGGGCTATCAACATGACTACTAACATGCAGTTATGCGACAGGTTACTTCTTTTGAACATACCAAGAAACTATATCAAGTAGACCTGATATAGACAAAATACTATCAAGTAGCAAGGCAAGACAAACTCAATCTCTCTGCTCTAGGGTGAGTGCTGTGGCTGCCATGGATGCACATCTCACTTTACAACGAGATGTAACTGAATCAAAAATGCAATTAGGACTATCTTTAAAGATGAACAAGTACGAACTCCGCCAGCATATGGCATTTATTAGATGAAGAAATGGTTATGAACTGCAAAGCAGGCTTCCAAGAGCACACAGTTATTCTTTGTGGTCTTTGGAATTTCACAGCCACTTTGGGGCCGAGAGTGTCAAAACAATCTGCCAGCGAATCCCACATACACCCAAGGAGACGTTCAAAGGGAAATGTGATAGCATCAGCAGAGGAGCTCAGTTACACAAAAGGAGAGGTGTGGCTGAACCACAACTTTTCTGATTCACATCAAGGCTTTCCCAAAGTTCAGAGCTGCGCTATCTAAAGATGATGGTACAGACCCAGAGCCACCAGGAACACACAGTTATTTTCACAACCAGTAATGACAAACAGTAACGACAAAAGAAAAAACAAGAGGGAAGAGAAGATAAGATGGGCTCACCAGAGTGCGTCCTGAGATGTCCTGTGAGGGCGTCCCTCCGTCGGCAGGCATAGCTGCAGAAGGGACATTTGAACGGTTTCTCCCCAGAGTGCAACTTGATGTGCCTCAGCAGGTTCCCCTTCTGGGTAAAAGAAGCTCCACATTGGTTACAGTGGAAGGGGCGTTCACCTGGAAGAGAAATAGAAGGGAGAGACCTGTAAAGAACCATCAGAAGATGCATGGAGCCTGTTATCCCTCTCTTTGTAGCACTGCCAACTTACATAGGTACAGTCCTCACCACCACCATCACCTGGCACTTGCTAAAGTTGGAGGCTGTTTCTTTTGCACAAAGGACAAAGCCTCCAATAAGGATTTGGAGCTCTTTCCTCCTGCAGTATCAGCTTCAGGTGATTAACGCAGACTGATTTTCATGAAGTTCTCTTCCTTGAAGGTTTTATCCTTCAAAAAAGATGAGCTTTGCTCAAAATTTAGATCCATAACCATGCTTTTGTGGTATTTATCTCTATGGTTTTGCACTTATTTTTAGTACAGATCCAATTCACGTGAGTATTTAACTGATCATAACAACTGGACTTGGACAGATGTTAAGGTCTTTGCTTCAAAACAAATCTTTTGCTTATATTATACTTTAATTGAAATCCCTTTTTGAAGGCTGCTTTGCATTGCTAGAGTAGTATGAAGAGAATCAATGCAAATGAGGATCAGGCCCACAACCTTTGGGCAGTAGCAAACACTGAGAAAAATCTTGCACCAATTAACTGTGAAATAAGCAAATGTGTGCTCTTAAGTAAAGCTAGTTGAAAATACTTGCTTTATGGGGAAAAAAAAATAACAGAAACTCTACACCTTACTCTCCCTCTTCGCCCCATGCATTCACACACACGCAAGCAAAACTTACTTTGATGTTAATCCTTCATATTTGCCCTGGAGAATGGGGATTGGGTCCATAGCAACAAACATCAACAATGTTTTTAAAATTATTATTTGGAGGAAAACCTCTGACAAACTCAGGGGTTTGTGAAATATTATCAAAACCATACTCTATGTCAACATTTGTTGAGGACACTCAGTCTGTTCCAACATTCTTGGGCAGGCAGTCGGGTCTAACCATCTACTTATGACCCACCAGGTACAGTGCAAATCAATAGGACAACAAGCATATACTTATGCTGGCCACTTGTCTAAGCGCTTTACTGCAGCTGGGCTCTAGAGACTGAAATGTTTTCACCAACTAGTGCTCTGGTTCAACAAGGTCTTGAACATCAGGTTTCAGATGTAAGCAGTCTCGTTCATGTTTTCAGTGCGCCACCTATTAAGGAGCAGGTCAATGCCTGGTGGGACTTTCTGAGGTTGAATTCACTGGCCTGAAGCATAGTTCTTGTGAAAAACCAATGCATTCTCTGATCTGTCACATGTCTCTAAAGCCTTTTTCAGTTGCTTTAAAATTATTGCTCCCCTGCTGCACAAAATTAATGCTGTTTTTAACACGGTAGTTCATGCGCCTAGTGTAAAATCTAACATATGTCTGTTGTTTCAAATGAAAAGAGAGGGAGGAAGAGAGCTCTTAGAGATGCCCACTAGCAATTCTTGATTCAGTGGTTTAAATCACTGCCAGCATTACTGTCCTACCAGGACAGCAGCAGAAGGCATGTGTGCCATATATATGCCATACATCTGCAACTTCACATGCATTAGCTGGAAATTACATCTGAAACCACTGCAGATGCACTGAAGAAGATACTAAGCTTCCTACAGTCTTGCCAAGAAGATTATGGAGTAATGATAAAAAAAATCAGGGCATAAAGCTCATCTTCCAATACAGTGAACATGAGCTCACTGGAATTGATAAAGAGTTTGTGGCTTCCCTTTTAAACTCCCACACTATACTTAAAGGATCTGATTAGAAATTATCTTCTTCTATATCATTTCAAAATGTCCATAACAGAGATAAGTAAAGAGACTGCAGTAGAAAAATATATGGGTTTTTCTTCTTTTCTGTTTTGCTTTTGCTGTCTGAGAAAACAGGCAAAACCCCTTCCTTTGACACGTTTCTCAGTATTCAGGAATGATAGCTTCAGTTTCAGGATGACAACATTAAAGAAGGTAGGAGTTTCTTACCAAGTCTAAAGTCTTTCCTTTTACTCCTGCTGTATTTAAAACTATGCAGTTAATATGTTTTATTCACTACATCACCTGTTTATCTTTGATATTTTGGAGGCCACATATGAGCAGGTATTATTCCTCGATAAACTGGCAGCTGAAGAGATGCTGAAAGCCTTTGGTCAGCAATTCAAATAATCCCTGCACTAAAGTTCAGTGGCAAAGATGACAGGGAAACACTCACCACAAAGTCACCAGTAGTTTGTTCCTCTCTTGTAACAGACTGAATCTGCTACAATAGCACATTTTACCTTAAATAACCTTTCTATTTATTTAAAGCCAGAATGAACTCTTTTTTCCTACTGGCTTAATTCTGGGCAAATAACTGCTTTGATCTGTTTATTCTACTTTTGTCCAATCATTTGATTCCTGCTCCTTGTTTAAGCTGCAGGCTTGTGGGATGACCGTTAATTTTAGTCACACCTTCTCGCAATTGATTAGCAGCTTTTACATTTAGCACAGCTAATCTGAGAGACCATTATCCAATAGAAGGGTGCACAAGAAAAGTAAAGACAGAATAATAAGAAGATTTTGCTGGTTTTCCAAGAACTCTGCTGTCTGATGCCCATTCCAGATACAAGCAAACCAGACTTCTTCATCACTTTGGTGCCTCGAGAAGACTGTTTTCCAGTTATTTCTCCTGCTGCCTCTTTCCTAGTAGGTTTGAAAGCAGTTCTCAAGTGTTATTATTTCCTAATAACAAAATAAGAACCTTGACATTCTTATTCACTTCCCTTGAAAATTAAAAAGGTTTTATTCATAGGCTGAAATTAATCACACTTCAAACTAAACATCCACTCATGAACAGTCTTCACCTGACTACATTTCTTCTGTACATGTTTTCCTACCTTCGGGGGTGATGGCAGCAGAGACACACCAGAAACTATAGACCGTTTAAACAAGTGGCATACACGACTACAAAAGGCTAATAAGAAACGTGATGTATATTTCACAATTATAGCTATATATGCATTTACTGTTTGACTCTACAAACTTATACTGATTCATTAAAATAAGAACTCCTTATAAGAAGGACATCAACTGAACTGTGACTAAGCAAGCTTTTTTGCATTTCAATGCTGGAAACTATATGACTACAAAATATTTTTTGTCTACTTCAAGTTTCAAACCTTTTCACTATTTTAGAGCTAAACCTGGGCAGAAAAAACTCAAAACCTACTGATTAAAAAAAAAAAAAAAAAAGTTTCTGAGTGGGGAGAGGGGAGGAACAGCTAACCAAACAAAAAAGATGTTTCTTTTCAACTCCAGATTTCAGATCTAGAGCCAGAAAAAACCCAAGAATGCCTAAAAAGCCTCGTTCTCTAGCGGAGGGAATTTAGTTATTTAGTTACTTCAGGAATGGACAAGGCAAGGTAAGCTGGAGCTGCAAAGTATTACCTTTCGTAAAGGCTTAGTAAGAGGACCTTGTGCCAGGGAACAGCCCTGATAATTAAATTAAATAAGTAAATAAATCCATGGGGTTTTATCATCTTACAGTTAAATAAAGCACTAATTAAAAGGTATTATTTAAAATATTTACCTCTAAGTTACAATAAAATACTGCTGAAACGTCACAGTTCATTGTTTAACATGCATCCATTACAGCTATGTCTCCTCCAGGAAAAATAATAATGAAATATTACTGCTCTTTAGCTACACTGGTATCTAAAGTACACAAGTTAACTTGTTGCTGTGTAAACAAATACTGAGATGAAAGGTGAAGTGGACCAACAGAGTTAGGTTTATTAGCAAGACATGGTCCTTTCATAAGTATCTTTAATACATAGCAGCTGGCTGGAGACTTCATAGCACAAGCTACGAACGCTGTCTAGCTGATACAACCTGAAACCAGGAGAACGAACTGTTTAACTTCCTCCTAATAGCTTTCACATTTTACCTTGTATATATCAAATGTTATTTCAAAAAGCAAACCAACTCCTTTTTCTGCTTAATTGGAAGCTTCCCTGCACACTGACTCTCCTTTACTGCCTCAGCACGGAAGTGCTGTGCAGAAGTTTCAGTATGAGTTATCCTTCTTCGAATCTCATACAGGTGCAAGATACATCAGTGATATTTTCTGTACCAAAACAGAAATTTAACTGAGGACAAAGAGCCCACAGACCTCACAACCAAGAAGACTTAGATTTTCATAACCCTTAGCTGGTTACTTTTGTCCCTTTGAAATCAAACGCAGTAACTAACAAAACAATACATAATAATGTTCTTGTTAACAGCAAGGCCTGGTTATTTCTACAGCAGTGCTCAGGTCCTTTCCTGGGAATGTTTTAATTACATTTTAAGAAAAAAACCTGCTAGTTTTAAAGTTTCTTCACAATAACAAGAAAAGCCAGGATAGAGTCCTTCTAAATATAAGCACCAGGTCCAATGGGACTACATTTAACATCTGTCCTGGTTAAACGTGTATCTAAGACCTCAGCCTTTTTTGTTTGGTGCATACTCTTGATATGCAAAGGATAACTTAGGTACTTCTCAAACGGGATTTTTTTTTTAACCTCTTAATGTAAAATTACCGTGCCCACGCTGCCATCAGAAAGTATTTGCTCATACTAATAATATAGATTTTCACCCTTCTGTAGTAGGCTTTTTGTTAATATTCAGTTAAAAAGGAGCGTTTCTCCTGACTCATCAGATGCTGCAACTGCTCTGATTCTGCTCTGTCCCAGAAGCACAAATGAAGTATTAGCTGCGCTACCAACACGTTGACAGGCAGCAAGCTGCAACCTGTCTTTGCCCAAGCAAAATACTGAGCAGCAGACTTTGCTCCATTTCTGTATTTGTTATTCTGGGGGCTATCTAGTCTGCATACCTAATTGCTGTTCAATCAGATTCACTTAATGGTCTGCACATCACTTGAAATCAGTGATTTTACTAGGGAATTTTGTTGGGAAAAACCTACTTCCAGACAGTGCAATTTATTATAAAACAGTAGTGACAAATTTCTCATGAAAAATTCCTGGGAAATCCTGGTTGATTTCCAAGTGTCCTCTGTACACAAGTTTATGACTCTGTTCTTAAGAGAGAAAAATCCTTTAAGTGAACTGGTAAAAATATCAGAAGAGTTTAGCTACTCAGTACTGCAAGTAAAACACATCCTTATGCAGACAGTGATTTTAAAAACCTACGCTCCCCTTCCTTATGCTTAAGTAGAAAATGAGACTTTTAGAAACATTAGAGTTAGGAACGTAAGTAGAAAATACCATTTTTAGAAATTTGGCCCTACAATTTTTGATTCAGTACCAAATTGATTCCTAATGCAAGAGGTAGGAGCCTGCACTAGGTTACAAATTACAAATTAAACCAAATAAAACCTTTCTACTAAAAGAATAAGACAGGCAGTCCAACAGAGTTCATTGTAATGTGTTAATATGACCATTCATTTAAATTTGTTCCTGGTTAGCTGCTTTAGCCATGGAAGTCTTTTATACTGAACAGCACAACTAGGTTTTCCCTCACTTATTAATGGTGTCCCAAGAACTTGAACTCTGCATTAAGAAAAAAAATTAAATAGAATTCAGAGTTCTAGTGTTGAATATGTTCAATTGTAATTCTATGGATGCTAAAGCAGAATGTGAAGTTCCCTCATGTTTGCCTGAACTACCTTAACGTATCTCATCTCACTGACTTTATGGTACTAAAATGCACATGGAGTACAAGCAAAGATCTGAGACCCTCCTGTGGTTAGCACCCCAAAAAAGCCTAAAAATAACCTGCCAGCAGCCTAAAGTGATAATGGGGTAAGACTGCTATCCCCACTGCCTTCTGTGTCATGCCCTGTACCTGGGGATCCAGCTTTGCTCTGCCACTGTCCCACTGAAGCCAGAGAGAGAAAGCATTTAAGGTCTGGAAGTTCTTAAAACAATGAGGATGATCCCATTGCTGCCTTAGAAATAAAAAGCGATTCAGAATCCAGCAGTGGATTCAATAAAGGACTTGGACATTGTGGTGGAGAAAAATCACAATTCGCAGCACAAGGGAGAACAACATGTGGACCTTGCAGATCACAGAGGCAGCAGTACAGCTATACCAGCAAATGATTTCTGCTTTGCCAAAAATGAGGAGCGAGGAAATTTTAACTCAGGCCCACTAGCAGAAAGCCTTATCTTCTTCCTCTCCCCTTCCCTCAACATCCTTAAGCACAAGCCCCTGGAGTATCCAGTGGCAATATTATGTGACCAGTCATCTCCTCCAGTAACAAAAAACTCTGATAAAGTTGCTGCAAATCAGGGCATGTGCTGTGGAATGTGAAATTTGGACCAAAAGAAGATAGTATGGGCAAGGAGCAAAATAAATCAAACCTGACACGTGCTATTTTTCTGACATGAGGACGTGGCATGTGAGGGAGAGGGTGGGGTGTTACCCTGCTCACTAAAGCAGGGACTGCATCATGCTTAATTCCCACACTGAGCGTTTTATTTATTTTCTGTCAGTGATGACAAATAAATAGAAAGGCCTTCTCCTGATGGCCAAGCAGATTACAAAAACACTTCACCTGAATTATCAGCATTTCAGAGAAATGTGTTTGGCGGTATCAGATGAGCAATGCCGAGGGCTCCATGACGTAGGTGCCATGGGCCAAAGCATCACTTACCACGTGAATGAGGCAGCACCTGTGCGGATCCGAAGGGTGAATGGGAAATCACTGGCTCGGTCCATCACGGGAAGGGGCAACTACAGGCATCAGAGGAAATGGATGCTCCAGCCAACAAGGATGAGAGATGGGACACTGAACAAATCTACTCTGGCCTCATCCACGGCACAGATTATTTTCCCTGTCCTTATATCTGTTTGACTGAACTACCATAACATGGCTGGAGAAAACTGCCCTTTTACGTGCGTAACACAGCCAAAGTCATAAGGCACAGCTTCCTGCAAAGCCTGGGTCCCAGTGTAAGGAAAGCCACACTCTCACCCCAGCATACATGCAAATTACAGCCTCTACTATGGACCGCAGCATTTTGTGCGATTTACATAGAATGCTGACAGGTTTTTTGGGAAGGGAAGAGGACTTTCATTTTTGCCAATCCAAACAGCTGGCCAGACCATGCTTTGGTTGTGTACAGATAAAGAAGAGAGTAAGGCAGGATTTAGCTCCCAAAACATACTTAAATTGGCTTTGAGAGGTAAGGATTGACATGCCAGTTGCATTAGTTGATAAAGAATATCATCCGTTTCCACTCATTAGGGACAACCTCCCTTCCCTCCACCATTCTCCCTTGGGCTGCAAAACCAGACTACCCACAGGTCAGGGCTCATTCCAGAGCTGGGGCCAGCCCATCGCACCCAGCTGCCGAGGAAGTGGCAATATATTTTAAAATACTGCACTTTAAAAGACAGATACCAGTATGTTAAAAATACTCCTTAAAATCAAGGATGTGGAAATCCAAGCAAACTTCTCCTTCTGTTGTGGACGGTGAAGTAGCAGAGTGTATTAAAAAACAAACAAACAAAGGGGGGGTAGGGGGTGGTGGCAAAAAATCCCCCGCAAAATTTGCCAACTGGTTTACTGAGAGTAGAGCACTGAGCTGCACATTAAAAGGAATGCCATTTCTATATGCTTGAAATCATCTGTATAGAGCAATACATCACAGCTCCTCTGCTCAGATGGGAAAAGTCAGAGCTCTACAAGGAACCAGCAGTAGCCTGAAGGAAAAAGCTACCAGTTACGCAATTCCTACCCGTGCACCCGCATATAGTCATCTTGCCTGCATGCAGATGAGATTTTGTTCTGTTTGTTTTGAATTTGCATGTCTTCTTTAACATGAAAAAGGCACCTTGTCTGTATTTAAGAGATGTGCTAGCTATTCAGTACCTCAAAAAATGCAGACCATTTAGTTAAGTACCTAAATCTAAATTTAGCAGGTCTAATTTAGCTGCTCAAGTTCAAATACGTGGACTCTGATGCACCTACAATACATATGCTCAGATACGTGCAAGTGCAAATGAAAACTTTTAGGGAGGTTGAAAGCTGGGGACACAGTCCATTACCATTATCTATTCTCTCTCCCTCTCCTAGTAACAGCATGTCAAATTGTTAATCAAGATTTTGGTTCTCCAGCTAATGCTTTTCCCCGTCACAACTGCTGTCTAAAATCATGACTGCATCATAAACGATACTGCAATGCTTTGCATTATACATTTATGTTAAGTTATTATCAATACAACTTATATACAGGGCATTAACTATGTAATATATATTTATTATTCCTCTGTACAGAAATTCTATTGATTTCTTTCCCATCAAGAGCACACTACTTGACTGCAAACTACCAGGTTTACAAGGGGATTACACAAAGTCTTTCTTACTCTATCTTAAACCCCCACTTTTCTTTTTATATCCTGGCAGATATCTCACAGTCAGTGTGAGTCTCTCAGCCCATTAAATAATAGCAGAGAAAGATAAAAACCAAAATAATTTTCATTTTTTCCAAAAAATATGAAGAACAAACACCCAAAGAGGCTTCAACACAGAAATTTGTGCTTAACCTTAATAAGATTTAAGTGTACATCTTAAGTTAAGCATATATTGTAGCACTTCAGGTGACTTACATGTGCTTAAATCTCACAAAAGTTAAGCACAATCTCAAGTGCTTTCTTCAATCAAAGGCCTCTGCAAGACCGGAGAGCACTGTCTTCTGGTACCTTTCATCCTGTTGGAGGTAACTGTCACTTCCACCTGAGGAGCAGCAGAGGCAAGTGAGTACCAGCCTCTTGGGCACCCCCGTTTGCCATATTAGTCAAAACTCCCCTGAAATTCCCTGTCTTGAACTTGAGGCCTCATCTTTCAGGCCCCAAAGACCCGCTCAATCAGCATATCACAAAGGTTTTGCCTACCTCTTGAATTCTCAAATCCATAAGCCTGTTTTGGTCCTCAAACAGTAGTAGTACTAGTAGTAATAAAAATAAATGACAGGAGAATGCAAGCATTGAAAAGTGCCACAAAAATGGTATCTGGATGGTGAGGGGGAGACAAGCACTAGCTCACAGGAACAGTTCAGGTGAGGTTTCCCCGATGGAGCTGTCATGCGACGAGCAGCAAGCCCACCCTGGCATCAGGATCACTAGGTAGTGTGTGTCCCCTACAGGGTTTGCTAATCCCAAGTTTGCCACGCTACTGGCATTGTGTCCAGCCACTTGCAAAGGAGGTGTGAGATCCCCAGAAAGCTGCTGGTGTTGTCCGCCTGTGAGCACCTCCATGGGAAGACCATCTAAGACCCGCCTTAAAGGCTCAAAAGCCTTGCACATACCCACACAAATGAACACACACACCCCCATACTAGAGAATGACTCTCACCATCTTGCCCCTGGTCAAGAACAGTAAAAAAGGCAATTTCCAGACTTCTGTACTGGTTTTAAGAACCAAAGGCTGGAAATCAATGTCAAGGAAGTACTGTGCTTGCCAGAAACAGCATCACCAGAATTTGGGGAGCAGGAGAAGAACCAAAGCAACAAAGCCCAACTTTTCCCTCCCCAGCCTCCTGCTACCCCATGAATGAAAAAGGAAGAGAGAAGAGTTGTCAGGTAATATCAACATCAGACGCCACAGGCAGTCATCAGATTTTCTTTTAGCTGCTTACCAGTGTGGCTCCTTTTATGTACCATTAGCACATTGGGCCCAATGCAAACCATGCCACAGACGTCACATTTCAGTTTACCATTCGGAAGCCGGATTCCTCCCTCGCTCGATAGCTCCTGGATCTTTCTGTTATCCGCCATCTCGTTACTCTCAGTGAGGGGCTCTTCCAGGCTGCTTCCTTCATCATGAGCCCTGATCTCATCTTCCTGACTCAGGGGCTTCCTGTCACATTCCTCATCACTTTGCATTTCTAGCTTTACTGAATTTGCTGAAATAAGAAAAAATAAAAATAAAAATAATTAAAAATGTGTGTTTTCTAAGTTCCCAATTGCTAATATCATGATAAATTTCTACTATTATCAATATTAAAGCACAGCCTTGAAGCTCAAACCAAAATGAGGGTCTCATGGTGGTGATGGTGCCACAAGTTACAACTGCATCTTTCTTCAAGGCTTTGTGGTTTGTTTTTAAATTCCTAATTTCTATCTCATTTTACAGCTTAGAAACTAAGGCACGGCATGATCCAGAGACCAACCAAAAGTTGCAGAGATGCAGCAGACTTAAGAACCGACCTCCTGCTTCTCAGCTTGAAACACAGGAGCCCACTCCCTTTCAAGGAGCCCAAGTCACAAAAGCAAAGGACATAGCCAGAGCCGCTTCCTCCAGGTCTTTCCTGCCTAGTGCACCGAGACACAGGGTTTCCAAAGACAGGACATTGCACTGCCACAGCTCATGGAAACAAGCACCCTTCACAGGAAGGGCTTTTCAAAACACAGGGACCTAGCAAAGCCAGGCTTGTGAGCTGTGTCACTAATCTCCCAATTACCCTGCCTGCACTGGCAGGTTTCCTGACTGAAATGAGACCAATCTCTGGATGAGCCTCCACTGCTTTTTTGCTACCATCTTCTGATTCACATAAATGGGACACTGCCAAGGCAAACAGGTCTGAAGTGAGACCTACGCTGCTGGCTTATTTATATTTGTAAGTGAAATAAGTGCAGCTGAAGTCCTTTCATATCTTCTTGGTTAGACTGATGGGCTCACCACTGATTTCTGTGATCTTCAGGTCACAGGACAAACCTCCTCTACTAGAGCATGTTGGATCAGCAAATCTTTAAAGAAAATGAACGCATCAGGCTTTTTCATGTAGGGGTTTTGGTGCAGGGGTGTTTTAATCACCAGACACCCCAATTTCAATGCCTCAGTGGTTGGTCAAAACCACTGAAAGGCTTGTCCCAGAGTCACACCCTTCATCCACACTGTCAGCCAGAAGGCAAGCCCACGTGTCTGCTTCCCTAAGCCTTGATCCTGCTGAGGGGTTTAAAAAGGAGGTGATTCAGCCTTTGTATCTAAGTAGTCTTTGACCTTTGTACTAAGGCCATTAGCAAGAGTGCCACTGACAAGCAGTGGACCTGGAGTGCAACTGTGTGTCCTGGGCCTGGCTGGTGTCTCAAATCCCAGCCAGGAGTGCTCCAGAGCAGCCACCCAAGGGGACCCTGCCCAGGAACCCAACAAGAGAGTTAGTAGGCGTGTCTGATCGCTGTGAGGCACCACAGTTTCAAACAGCAGGCCTGGAAACGTCAGAAGAACAAACCCTACAACTCAGATTTCCTACTTCATCCTCTTTTCTCGTCCTTTCCCAGAATTTACGGTTAAAGAAAACACAAGGTTCAGAGACTGATGTTGACGTTGTGACTCTAAATCATTGCTGTTACTCTTAAGTAAAGCATAATGAATGGGGCAAATGCACCAGAGACCAAACAATGGTAAGATGTTGGTTTTCAATCATAAAATAGTTGAAACACATCTTCCACTATTTGTCAAGGTGCTAACTGGAGCTAAGGAATCAAAGTACTATTATGGCAAAGCCCACCCAGAGCAAGGACACAGCCAGATCAGATCACAGCAGACATGCATCATCACTGAAATGATCTGTACTACGAAATAGTTAAAGCGCTCCATTTATAGAAGGGAATTGATATTTTTGTTGTCACAGAGATGCATTTATTGTTTAAAAAAAGAAACAACAGCATAGACAGAGTTTGACTGTGACCTGGCCCCAGCTCATCGCCTGGAGGCAGCGCACAGCTCTGTTGGCCCGAGTACAGGATGGCCATCCCCACCTACACCCAGCGTGGTGGAAGAACACAGTCCCCTGGGGATGGCTCTCTGCTCCACAGTGCTAACCCTGGTACCAACAGCATGCACAGGGAAATACATGAATAAAAGCAACCTCTCGCTGGACATGAAAAAGATGCTGTAAACTTTATGTATTCACCAATCATCCCCCATGTACAAGATACATTTTTCTTAATAGCTTCTTCCGCGAGGCCACGACCACCTCAACAAGGGGAGGAAGAAAGGCAGAAACAGGTCAACAGGAGGCTGTTTGCATGGCAAGCGCGAGGGGGCCTGCCTCACCATGGCAGCAAGAGAAGTGATGGGAAGCCATCTGATGATTGTGAGGAGCCCAAGATATGGTGGGTGGCACAGCCATCACCAGCCTTGTGACCAGGAGGACACATCCTTGGTGGAGGGACTGAGCAGAAGGGAAGAAGAGTGGGAGCTCTGCCAGCTCCATGGACTGGCAGGGAGAAAGCTGAGGTCCTAGTCCCACCTCTCTGTGGAAAGCACGCGTTGGTGATTTATGGACAGCCCACTTTCAGAGCTAAGGAATGGCAGTTCCCTCTAATAATAGCAGCCTTTTGGGGTATTCAGCAAGTCTGAGAATGAAGCCTGAATAAATGGTTTGCTGTCTTCAGGAGCAGGATTTAATACACTTGGCCACACAAGAAGCTAGGGTAGAGCCAGAAATAGTGCCCCGCGCTCCTCACCTAAACCCCTGGGTTTCTGCCACAAGCCTGCACACTCTCCACACACAGTAATGCACAAAATAACCAAAAAACCTCATAGTAATTATGTATATTTATACCTATTCACAAGAGAGATAGAAAGCCTTGTATCTTACATGTCTTCTTACCTATATAATTTTTTGTCTCTATTTCTCTGACATGGAATAATAAACACTTGACTGAAATAAGTGCTGAGCACCATGCGTTCCCAGTCAAGCCTGTGGACCTCTGCTTGGCACGTATGAAAGCAAGGGTGCAAGAGCTTAGAAACTGAAAGATCACTTACTTACTTTATCTTGCCCTAGCATGTCTGCTGAATGACTGCTTTCATCCAACAGGATAAACAGCACAACAAAACGGAGCAAGCTGTTTGCTGAAATGCAACCTCTCCAGACACACGATGCTCCACAGCTCCAGCAAACGTAGCTCACAAAGCCCAGAGATTTCGTAATATCCCAGCTATTCTGCAAAGTTGTGCAGGCTGTTTACTCTTCTTACTTCCATCACCTTCACACAGAGCACCATCGTTGCCATTTTCAGAAACCCTCGGCTAGCTCTTGTTGCTGCGGGAAGGTTTCCTTCAGCTGGGACTAGTCACAGGTCTCCAAGGAGGGGTGCACTAGTGCAGCAGGGATCTCCTCAGCTCGTTGTGAGGGCTTTGCTAATCAGGTCATCTCCGCTGCCTTACATCTGGTGTATATATTAGGCTTGTGTGGTAGCCTGCATACAAACAGGCGCTTAAATCGCACATAGTTTTTCTCTGTTGTCAGCCAGCCTTTGAAACTACAATGTGGCACTGTCTTTGTTTTCACCTACAGCCACAAACTCAGAGAGCATAATGAACTCTGCTGCAAAGAAAAAAGAAATATTCAAGGGATGTTTATGGCTATCCTGCATCATACACAAGTCTCACGTCAAATTTCACCCGGGTTCCCTTGCCTTTCTTGCTCAAACACTTGCTAAAAGTGGCAGGCTTTCTCATTCCTTGGCCAAGCAAAGCATAAATAAGTAAATGGAAAAAAATTTTTAAGTTTTTGGCACTTTTCCTGAAAATCACAGCAAAAGAGATAGCAGGGATGAACTGCAATCCAGCTTGCTGCAAAAGCGTGAACTTGAAGCCAAACCATAACCATTTCCCTCCAGTTACAAGTTCCTTCCACTTTTTCCCAGTCCAGCACAACACCTCATCGGAAAAAAGAGACAAGCAGTCACAAAAGCTTCTATCTATGAACATGAAGCTAACGGCACATATTCACCAGACCACACAGCAATGTTTCTTTTTCCCTTTTTTTTTTTTTTTTCTTTTTTTTTTCCAGAGCACCAACCAGCTGATCCTGAATCACACTTTATCCTGAGTGGCCAAATTGAATACAATTATTGTTAATGTCTCATAAGTGCTAATTAAACTGCATTTCCCTGTTAAACAGCATTTTGGCAAGTTTCCAGTACCAAAATATTTCCTTCACCCACAAATTAGCGTAGCTACAAACCAGAAGTTGGAAGATCCACCTAAGAAAAATATTCCTAGTATTCCATCCTCTGTCATGGAAATTTGTTTCCCTCAAAAGTGAGATCGGGGGTGTGTGTGTGTGGGGAGGAGGGGGAATCCTCCTGTCTTGCTGAGAGATTTGATCCCCATGTGTAGCGTAAATTAAAGCACTGTTCATCTTTTTCTTAAGCAAACAAGCTAGAGTGTAGTTCCCGCTACAGAACAAAATTCCTTCTGTCCAACACATCAGGGAGAAAGCAGCAGGACTGTGCCCCTCTGTCTCCTCCACTGTCTGCTGTCCTAGGTCGTTGCTTATTTTATCTGTGGCCTTGGAAAACCAGGCTGGCCACTGTCACCAAGGGTTTGTGGTCTCCAGCTAGAGGTTAGCCTTTCCTGGCAGCAGCCATGCACCACCAGCCTCTTCCTGCTGCCCCCGGAGCAGCAGAAAAAGCAAGCCTGACCCCTCAGTCCCTCTTCTCTCGCCAGCAGGAAACAAAGCTTTGGCCCAGCTTCAGATACTCATCCTTGAGGAGGCAAAATTCAAATCTGCTGCCCCCGAAGAGCCTTGGGGTGGCTCTGTGGGCGAACACAGCGAAGGACACTTGCAAGCTAATGCGGACACGACATGTTCCCTAACCAAACTAGCCTGATAGAGAGAGGCATTAGCTCTCCTGGGGTCTGCTGCAGATTCCTTGTCCAGAACACAATATAATGCAATATTCAAAGCCTGGATAACATGTCTGTCTTTATCCCAGAACGCAAAGAAATTAAGAAATTGTTACTTCCCTCTGGAAAATGAGACCGAGCTCTAACTACCGCAGCACAGTGACAGGCAGATACAACACAACCTTCTGCATATTGTCTTGTCAATGGTCAGTGACACAGTCTATTTTAATCATGAACTTCTCCGAGGCAGTGGATTAATGA